GCATGTGAAAGCTAAACAATTAATAAGAAAGATCAGAGAAGAGCTGAAGTCTTTGAATTATACCATGGCCACCAGAAGAACAAACAACTAAGTTTTGGAAAGAAATACAGCCCATATGCTCCTTGCAAATGAAGATCGTAAGGCTTCACCTCATGTACTTTAGATGTGTTATCGAGAGGGACGAGTTCCTGGAGAAGGACATCATGCTTAAAGAGAGTCCATGACAAAGGAGGAGCAAGCTGCTCCTCGAGCTGAAGTGACCCGGCGGCTGCGAAGGTCCAACCAGAAGGGGATGGGGCAGCACCAGACATGGCTTCATGTAGTTTTACACAGGGTTGCTGGGAGCTGGCCCCGACTTGACAGCATCTAACAAAAACTAAATGCATACAATCAGTGAGTTTTAAAAGTACATGAACTTCAAGGAGTTCATTGAAAAATTGCATTTTATTTTAATTCCATTTTCCATGAACTTTGTGAAGCCCCTCATGTGTGTTCTTCAGTATACCATATCCTCATCAAAATACAGAACAATTCTATCAGCTTAGGAAGTTTTTTTTATGTTCCTTTACAATTAATTCCAACCATATTTTCCATTGACCTATTCTAGAACTTCACACATCCGCTATCACTCAAATACTCTTTGTGTCCAGTTTTTATAGCACAGCATAATGTTAAGGAAGAATCATATATATTGTTATAGTTATCAATAGTTAATTCCCTTTTAATGGTGGTATGAACTACTACTGGACAATTGAAAACTTAAAATATTATAGCACATTAATATTTTACTGATATCAATTATCCCCTATATATATTGTATGTGTAATACAAATAATACAATTTACTTAATTCCCTTGTTGATAAATACTTCGGTTCTTTTCAGTTTTTGCTTATTATGAGAATTCTTAATACATATCTTTTTTAGATACATACTTTTGCTTCTGTTGGGTCTATATCTCAGAGTAGAATTGCTACATCAGGGTAGCTAATGTATTTAATGCAAATAATGAACACATTATTTTTTGGAAATTGTACAACTCCCTTGCACATTAGTTTCTAATGCATACTATGCAAGTGATTTACTTGGGCACATTTGTGGGAAATTTGGTATATAATTTTCCTATATATGGAACTGCCAAACTTTCCCCCAAATTGTTCTATTTTTTCATTCTCACCATCGATGAATGCAAGCTCCATCATTTGTGCTGCAGGCATCTTTAATTTTAGCCATTGCTGTGGCTGTGTAGTGGTATCTCACTGGGGTTTGTTTGCACTTCTTGCTGAACCCTGTAGTTGAGAATTTATTGTGTTTCTTGGCAATTGTCTTTCTGTTTTGCCCATTCTTAATTGAGTTGTTTCTTTTACTGCAGGAATTTATTATATATTCCAGACAAAAGGCTTTCGTCATCTTTCATCAAGTTTGTATAGCCAGAGTCCAAAATGGCATCGATAATGCTTGCCTCCTATTTGTGTTCTTCCACAGTCTTTGTCCTCTACACACTGGATCAGGGTGGGTCTGATTCAGGAGAGGCTTCCAGAAAGTCCATGGAAAAACTGCATAAACAGAGCATGGAAATTTCCAATGAGGTTTTTTAGTCCTTCATAGACTACAGACGGACTGGTGGCTGTTCTCAGGTACCGTGGAGTGCGAGTCGGTCCGGATCCATAACAACCTTATGTACCACAGAATGAAACACTGCACAATCCTGCTCCATCCTCACAATCGTTCCCAAGCTTGAACCTCTTGTTGTAGCCACTGTGTCAATCCAGCTCCTTGAGGGCCTGTCTTTTTTTCGCTGTTCTTTACAAAACTTGATGTCCTCCAAGGACTGGTCTCTCCTGATAACAGGTCCAAAGTAAGCAAATGGCATTGTGGTGTCTACTTTACTCTCCTGAGGGGAAGTCTATTGCCATTTGAAAGAAAAAAATAAATAAAACACTCAACAAAGCCTATAGAGAGGTCTACCAGGTCCAGTAGCAATCAGTACTATCTCACCAGCCATGGAGGAAACCACTTTGGAAGCAAGCGACTCCTCCAACTTCAACAAGCTAGATAACTAGGCCTTATCTACTGTTTTAGATGGAAGCCCAAACCATGTAGCCAAATTGCTTCCAATTCTTGACCCACAGAAAAACATATATATTTTTTTTGTTATTTGAGATTCAAATGGGTGAAGCCAAAGAGGAAAAAAATACACTTACAAGCTACATCAGATCATTTCTTCTAGTTAAGACTCACCTTTTAAGTTCTAAAGTTCTACACAAACTTTCTTCTATCAGATTGAGTCAGTGCAATATGCCTGAAAAATAGATGGGTTCCCTACCATCTAGGATTTTAAACCATCTTTGGTATATAGAAAATTGGATAAAGAACATAGTTTTACTATTTAAGTTAATCTTTTATGAAGCAAAAATAATTGG